AAGAGTATATACACATAGAGTGTGCATGTCGAACAAAATATCAGTCACAAAAATTTTGTTCTACTGGTTTTTTAAAAACCCAGGAATTACTCAATATTTGAGTCCTTTTACTATATGTGTGCAAAGAGACTGTATTTTCATTGATATGTGCACATTATCACACTCAACCGCTCTTTTGGTTATAAATATGCTCATTTGGATATAAAAACATATGTATATACATATATGCATTTTATATTATGTTCGTTTTCTTTAATTTGTATGTATATTTAAATATGTTCATATTTCGTTTATTAAACTATTTTGTATATACATATGTTTTGTTCTTTATCATTTTACTAATATTTGCAATATTACAATTTAATTTAATTCTAAGAATGGAAAATATGTACTTATATAATATTCGCTAATTTGACACTTGCTTAACTTAATTAATTCTAAGAATATAATTATCTATTTTACAATATTTGCTTACTTAATAATACAAATTATTTTAATAATATTCGTATTCTTAACATTCAAAAAAAATTTAAATTCACTATATATTTTTATGACTAAATTCTGGCTAAGTTCTTTTACATTATTGTTAATAAGAGTTGTATTAATTGATCTTATATTAAGTGCTAACTTGAATTGTAGAGCTAACATATTTCATATTCATTTTAGAAATGTGTGTTGATTTTAGACTTCTCTAAGGCCCACAAGCAATGCTTACGAAGTAAAAGCAGAATTAAAAAATCAAGAAGCTGGATTAAATGTTCATTACAGGGCCCCTTAAACCACTGAGGGGTTTTTTTCTTGCACATTCCTATTATTAAACTTTTAATGCCAATTGCATCTGGTTTATTCTTGAATACATTTTTAAAAACCTCGACATGTTTACAAGAAACATTGAAAAAACTTTCTGATGGCGCAAACAGGTTACCGAAATTTGAAAGAGAATTATAATTTTTATAGTAGATGAAAAGCTCACTTTTAATTTTACTATTAATAAAATTTAAACATGTTTTTATTTAAAATTGGTAATAATGTCCTAACCTGTAAAAAATGTAAAAAATGATAATTTTTCAATTAGTAGATATAAAATTATAAGGGTTCAAATTTCGCCAAAATTGTACGAAATCTCAATTTCGCCAAAATTTCATACAATTGCGAATAACATACAATAATTTACAAAATATACTGTAATTTTCGGTTTTACAGAAAATTCTATTATGAATGAAATAAAATGGATTGTAAACAAAAAATAAGTTTTTTGGTATTTTTGCAGACATTTATTCCTTTGATATTTTCATTAGTTGCTGTTCTTGATTTCTCAATTGTTAAATGCACCTTTCTACATAAAAATACCAACAACTGTAGTTCAGAGCGCAGAAAAGCAATACAAACTGCTTTAAAACTCATTAAGTATAAAATGCTTAAACACTCCAAACTCTCCCGCATGTTAAAGCTCAAAAATTAAAAATTGGGTCACAACGAGTCCATGTGACACAAAAATAACTCAAATACTATTTCCCCGATTTCTGCGACCGATTTTTGTGAAATTGCCATCACTTCATTTTTAAGATTTTTTGAGTGATGCACACTCTATGTATATATACTCTTTGACTGAACGAAAGTGGGCGAGCAGTAGAGCAAAATTGCAAAAATTTAGAAGCTCTCTTGGAATATAGAAAAGTTGATATTAAAGCATTAGAAACAGTTCAAATAGTCGAGAGAGATAAAAAGAAATTCGAAGAGAAAAAATGTCGGAACAAAAACCAAGAGAGACAGCTGTTGGCTTGCATGCTAGTTGTGAAGCAAATCAAAGTAAATGTGTGTTTTGCAAAAATAGCACTCATGCTTCAAAAAATTGCAAAAAAAATATGCCCGACGAACATAGAAAAAAGATTCTTAAAGACGAAGGTAGATGCTTTATATGCACAAATAAAGATCACAATGCAAAATTCTGCAAAAACCAATGGTGAAAGTGTGCAACATATAATGGTAGACATTTAACAATAATGTACGAGAAGAAACACTTAAAAGAGAACCGAAAAAATCAAGAGAGGGAGAGTTCTAATGAAACGAACATAGTGGAGCAAGCAAATGGAAATAAGCAGATGACATCATCGCTGAATGCTATGAAAGCAGAGGATAATAAAATTTACTTGTAAACAGTAGAGGCAATTATTGTAAACAAAAACAGTAATAAACGGGAGTCAACGAACATATGTAACTGAGGAGCTTGTCAGCGTTTTAAATTTGCCTGTAATTGATTATGAAGAATTCAAAATTTCAGAATTTGATGAATTGGATGAAAATAAGTCTGTGAACCGTTTTAAGCAAGTGATTTTCCACATAAAGAGCCAGTATTGTGATAACGTCATTGAAATAAGTGCAACTGTCGTTCCACAATTTTTTCAGACTTTCTGCCTGTACCAAATGTACAAGGTAAGGTAAAGGTAAATACAAATTTATCGAAAATAAACTCGCAGAAAAAATCATCGTATCTAAACAAATATTGTCAGGAATTAATTTGTTGATTGGGCAAGACAACTTTTAGATTTTTTGTACACATAAAGTAGAAAGAATAACAGATAGTTTGACAGCAATGAAGACAGATTTAAGTGACATGACTTCATACTACATGCCACATAGACCAGTATATCGTGAAGAAAAAAACAACTACGAAGATGCATATAGTTTTTGATGTATCATCAAGTGGCCTCACTTGATCAGGTGACAACTTACTGTCAAGCTTAGTGTCAATGTTAGTAAGGTTTCGTTTAAAGAGAATTGCCATGACACCAGATATTCAGATCGCATTTTTCAAATTGCTATAGACGAAAGCGATCGCAATACACATAGATTTTTATGATATGACAAAATGAACAACTACCTAATATTGTGGAAAAGTGAATGACGAGAGTAACATTTGGAGTTACCTCTAGCCCTTTTTGCTATCCGCAATTATTCGAAGACATTTAACGAGTTGCAAAGCAATATTTCCAGCAACAAGCTGGAAATATGTAAATGATCTTTTAATTAGTTGCCATTAAGTTGAAGAAGCCAAGAAAATTTATTTTGAATCGAAGCAAATTATGAGCGATGCAAAATTTGATTTGAGGAAGTGGAATTTAAACTGCATAGACATAAGAAAATGTTGTACAAACGAAAGTAATCAAGCAGCAATTCAAAAAATATGGAGAATAAATTGGTATATTCTTGAAGATGACATTAGCTTTGATCTGGAGAAGACCATTGAAACCATTGCCATTTTTAAAACGAACAAAACGAAATGTGATGAAGGCTATGGCAAGAATATATGATCCCTTTGGAATAATAGCACCGTTCACAGTGCGACTTAAAATTTTACTTCAAAACATTTGGAAAGTAAAATAGAAATGGGACACGTCATTAAATGACGAAAAGTGTTGCGAATTTGAAGCATGGCGAAACGAACTTAAAATATTAAGGCATTTCAAAATTTCTCGTTCTTTGTGTCACGCGGAGAAAAGTTTGATAGAGGCCCATATATTTGCTGCTGCAAGTCCAAAGGTATATGGCGTTGTGGCATATTTGATAACAGTGGCGAATGGGGTAGTTTCAAAACAAATTTATTTACTCAAGAAACAGAGTAAGCTTAATTACAAAAAGCGGTAATGATGAACTTTCGCTCCCAAAGTTAGGGCTCATGGCAGCTGTTATTGCTGCATGACTGAAAGCATTTTTATCAGAGTCTCTAAAACTACAAATTGATAAATACTACTATACCTAATTGGATTATGGGATGCGGAAATAAAATAAAGCCATACTTCACAACATGAGTTAAAGGATATTTAAAACTAACTAACATATTCAAGGGGAAACATTGCGATGGCAAAAGCAATCCAGCTAATTTTTTAGCTAGAGGGTGTATGGCCAAAAATTTGTTTAAAAACAATTTTTAGAAAAATGATCCAAGTTGGTTCTCGACAAAGGAAATAAATTTCGTAAACAACGAGAGTCTGAATGATATTTTATTAATATTTTCGAACATGAATGAAAACATTGCTAATCAAAGCGAATCATTTAAAAAAAAATAAACAAATATAGTAACATCAAGACAGTGTTAAGGTTAACAGTCTATATTATGAAATTTATTAGGAATATACAGAGGCGAAAATCATAAAGAAAAATACAAAAATACTTTTGGTAAAACTGGAACAGAAAAGATATTTTCCGCAAGAAGTGAGTTATCTAAAGAACAAAAAAATTTTGCAACAACATCGAAGTTGTTATGCTTATATCCAATTATTGACAATGGCGACATAAGACTTAGTTGCAGAATTTCAGTTAAAGTTTACGACGAAAGTCTGACAAAACCAGCTATCTTGCCTAAACTTTCTCGTTTCAGTAGGTTGTTAATAATTCAGGCTCATACTCTACATGGAGGTGTGAATGTAGAACTAGCATACATACGAAAGATATACTGGATGATACAGGGTCGTCAACTAATCAAAAATATAGTAAGTCAATGCATAGTATGTAAAAAGGTCAGAGGTAAAAGCGCAACGGTCTGTTTTGCCAACTGAACGAATTACAACAACAAGACCATTCAAGACGACTGAAATTGATTTTGCTGGACCACCATATATAAAAATCGAACGGGAGAATTATCAAAAAAAGGTTTATATAATGTTATTTACATGCGCAGTTATAAGAGCAGTCCATTTGGAACTGGTGAAAATTCTTACAACCAACAGGTGTATTGATGCTTTAAGACGGTTTGTAGCGCGTTGCAGTTGTCCAGAAACAATCATGTCAGATAATGCCAAAACATTTGAAAGAGCAAACAAAGAACTTCAAAAGCTAGAAACTTTACTTAAATCCGAAGAATTTCAGAACATACCAGCCCACAAAGGTTTTTCATGGAAATTTATATCAGAAAGAGCAGCATGGTGGGGTGGATTTTGGGAAAGATTAGTGAAAAGTATCAAGATATGTTTGAAGTCAGCTATTGGAAAATTGATGTTGACGTACAATGAACTGAACACATTATTGACAGAAGTTGAATACGTTATAAATATTCGTCCTTTAACCTACATAACATATGATGAAAAGGATTTAGAAGCTTTAACACCAGCGCATTTTTTAAATTCGTGACAACACAGCTTTATTATTGATGAGTTTAACTATGGCAGATGAGAAGTTACCGATTTATGGCAAAAACGTCGAGCGTTAATCGTAAGGCACCTTAAAAAATGACAGCAAGAATATTTGAACCAATTACGAAGTATTCACTACAATAAACCTCGTGCTTCAAGGAGTGTGAACTAGGGAGATATTGTTGGTGATAATTTAAAAACTCAGCTACAATAGAAAGTGGGTGTCATTAAAAATGTATACCACGGAAGAGACAACAGAATACGAGCTTGTGATGTCTAGATGAATAACAATCTTACCTTGAAGAGACCAATTCAATTACTGTATCCACTCGAGGTTTCTGCAACTCGCGGGCCCCAAGATGTGAAAACTAAAAAGAAATGAAGGGTTGCTTCTTGCCATTGATGTCTCTCTCTGTCTCTCAAAAATTTTAGTGATAACTGTACTCATGCATTATTTTTTTAGTCGTTAATAAACTGTCAGCAGAAACTGATGCTAAACCAGTGTTGCAAATTATTATTTTTTACAAAAGTTTTCTAATAACGATAATTAATTTTTTCAATATAAATAAAACAAAACGTTTTAATAAAATTATATTTTATTGTCATTTTCTATATTCATATATGCATTTAAACTCAACTATGAAAATATTATCTTATGAAAATACTAAAATGGCAGTCTTGGCGATATAGTCTCGACTCAATCACCTCAAAGATTGCTGAATATCAACACATCTCTACATTATTGACACTTCTTAGAATTTCCCTCAGCTAGAACCCAACTTAGCCTAAAGCGCTGTGCAGACTATCATACTGGTATGTCATACGAGAGAGAAAAACGTCGTATGACACACAGGTATGATAGTCTGTATCTCTTACCAACATGTTGGCGTGCTCACCAAAATTTTGGTGAGCAGCTCTCGCATACGTGTTGTGTATGATAGTCTGTCACCCCTAACGATTCATACGTCATACAAGAGCATTTTTGCCTTGCAAATTTATTGTAAGCAGGCGATATATGTGAAATTTTTATATAAATTTAATATGTTTTTTTATTATTTTGTTATTAATGTATTTATTATTATTACTATTAAAATCACACTTATAAATTTGTGTTAAATATTTAATTGTATTTTAGTTAAAAAAAATATAAATTTTTACATAAAATTCTTATAAAAAATTAAAATACAATTAAATATTTTATGTAATATATAAAATATTTTATTTAATTTATTAAATATTTTACTTTATTTTATTTTAATTTATAAACGATGATTATAAGTAAAATTTTTTTTAAAAAAACCTCTAAATATAAACATCGTTAAATTTATGATCTAAGCCCAGTAATAAAAAAACGTATTGAAAATTGGTCGTAATAACAAATAATTAATAACCCAAAATTTAAGACATAATCCTTTGTATTCCAAATATGCTTTTCTTTGTTAAAACTTGTTATTAAAATAAAAGAATTTTAAATGTTAATAACCTTTAACTAAAAAAAATATGGAAATGATCAAATTTCTTGAAAAACAAATAAGATATATACATTCTTATGTATATACATGTATATACATATATACATAATTTGTATGATCTATTTATGAAAAATTTCTTAAGAAATTTTACAGGTAGTGAATGAAATTAATTACGGTCCTTTACTGATCTTTTCATTTTAACTACTGTGCTTAATGACCAATAAACCTAAAAAAAATATGAATATGGATGCAGATAAAGCATTTTTAGATGCTTTCATCGAATGTTAACAAAAGTAATAGCTGTTTGTGGGATGTCCAAAGCTGTGAATATAAAGATCGCAAAAAAAAAGACGCGACATATATAAGATATACAAAATTATAATCAATTAAAAAGCACTCTTCAAAAATTTTGCCTAAATGACGACTCTTGTGTGTCATACCTGTTCAAAAAAATTCGGTCGCTAGAAGAAATTTGAGCAAGAGAGAGCACAACTCGTATGACACACCAGTATGATAGTCTGCACCGCACTTAACTCGCACATGACCTATATGTATGTAATAATATATGTATATATTAGTAACAAAAATTATTGCCAAAATTGTTTGTGTTTATTCAAAAACATGAGGTGTTGAATTTTTGAGCTTTTTAACCTGCTTCTGCGGTCTGATATTAATTGTCAACTTTTCGAAAAAATTCGTTCCGAAGGAACTGAAGTAGCTAAAGTTGTGATAAATGTGGACAAAGTATAGCTCTCTGCTTCCACCTCTCAAGTGGATTTGATTTTCGATCAACTAAAAGCTCCTCTAAGTACATTCGTATCTCGATTTTAGCTAAGGCTGTTGGAGTTTGAGTTTGACTACCCACCAAAGAGTCATCAAACTCTTGCCAAACTAAATCTTCGTCATCGTTTCTTAAGGTAACCCTGGATTCATTGCATAGCCTTTCTTTCGATATACTCTCTTTATTAACAAGAGCAGTGATTTCACTTTAAATACTTTGTTTTATAGTTTGAAAGGCGATATCGCTTGAAAAAACTTTTTTGTTAAACCTGGGGTCCAAAAACACTGCTTTCGCCATTGAAGAGTTGTCTTCCAAATCAGCAAATCTGGTACAAATAGAGTCCTTAAGTGTTTCAGCAATTTTCTTCCCTTCTGTTGATGTTGTTTTCTTAGCAACTTTAGTTAAAACCGCATTCTTTCTTCTATTAAAATACTCACCAATATTTCTTGATTTTAGTCTAATATTCTTAATATTTTTTAAGCCTTTTTGAATTATTAAATTACATGTGTGAGCGAAGCATGGAAAATGATACCATCCACATCAAGTAACAGCGCGCATAATATTTGCTGCATTGTCTGTTGCTACAGCAAATATTTGATCGGTCAAACGCCATTCATCTATTATTCGCTGTAAGAATTGAGTTTTGTAAAATAGCGTTAAAAAAAAATTATTTGCAGTACCTTGATTTCTGCTGCTAAATTTTCTGAGGTAAGCTTGAACCCACATTCCACGCAGCTAAGCAAACAGGAATTAAATTCCCAATTTTGTGATATGAAATGTGCTGTCACAGCCAAATAGCTTTTATTAGCACTAGAAGCCCACATGTCTGTTGTTAATGAAATACTTTTGGCTTCTTGTATGATTTCTAGTATTGATTCTTTCGCT